CACACACACACACACACACACACACACACACACACACACACACACACACACACCTTTAGTACGTCTCTTTACAATATCATTACATTGTCGATAATATTGATATATGAGAATTGTACCACACAGGCATCTATCTACAGTACCACGTCTGTAGAGCTCCCTCTCTTCTAGTGCATTCTGGGAGATGCAGTCTTATTTATTTATTTTTTTTGGCTGATTGGCTGCAGGAACAGTATTAGGCCTCTCCAGGTGATGTAGTGTTCTCTAAAACAGTCAGGATCTCCACTCCTGCTCGCTCCTCCGGCATAGTAGCAGATGTATTTACACCGTGTGACAAATATCCAGACGTCAGTTAGAAAAATAAACAGGCTCAGAGCAGGGAGCGTGTAGAGAGGGAGGTTCTCTACTGGAAGGGTTTAAAAAAATCCAGATCATCTTTTTCTCTCTGGTTTAAGGCAGCCCAGTGGAAGCTGAGTGTGACATCTGCCGCCCCTGTGAGTGCAAGGAATCATGGGAACTGAAAGCCCCTCCCTCTGGCCTGAACCTCACTCTCTTCCTTGGCTGTCGGTCACTCCCTCTGTGAATCGGCTAAGGAGTGAGCCTCGTGGTCGCTGCCCGGCTTGTTGAGATTGGTCAGAAGCACGCTGAACTTGCGCAGCTGCTCGCTGGCAGTCTGGCTCTCCACCTGCAGCCGCTGGTTGTTCTCTCTCAGGTTGGCCATCTCAGCGAGTAAGACGACCTTATCTTTCTTCTCCTGTAATAGAGAGGAGGAGAAATAAAGACCAAATAACATCTGCATGGAGCCACAAATACATGTGAGCCTCATAATGAAAGTGATGCAGCTTTTAAACATAAATCAACATCAGCAACACATGTAAATCAAGTCTTTAAGAAGACATGACTCCACAGTCACTTATTATCGATTATTTGGTTCTTTAACCTCAGAGGGTTCCTGCTTTAGAGAGAAAAACAAAAGGCTCTCACTTTCTCCAGGTCATTGTTCAGCTGCTTCAGCATCACTTCCAGGTGGTAGAGCCGACCGGACAGATCGTTGGGCACCTCATCGCTGTAACACACACAAACACACCTGGCATTCGTTCCGTGGATCCAGTGATTACACACACAAAACACCGCTGTGATGTGCACGCCGCAGGTAAACAGACAGGTTTTACTGGTTTTATTATGAGGATCTGAAAGCTCGTCATCTTCAGTAAAAACCTTTTTTTTTTTTATTATAAAAGTGTGCTGCTCACTGGCAGGACAAACAGCCTCTCCGGTGCCACAGAGTTAACAAACTTTTAATTCTGGTGAAAACGCTGAAAAGAAGATGCTGATAAACTACCACCAGGTGGCAGTAGTGACTTATGAAAACCTGAATATTTACAGGCGCTCTCTGCTTCTTTACAACATGTTGTTCTGGATCTCTGTAACCGAGGGGCTGACCTACCTGCTGAGTGTGGGCGTGGTCCGTGGCGTCTGAGGAGTCTGAAACTGGACTGGACTAGCGGCCGGTCTCGTGTCTGGACCTCCGAGCTGCGGGTCAGTCAGCGAGAACAGGGAACCCGCTCTTTGTGCTGCAAAATAAACACATGATCGTGCTTTTAAAAAGCCTTTTCCACGTAAAGCACATCCCCAAAAAGAAAAGGAGTGCTCTAAAAACCTTTCCTGGGAAAAAAAAAGTGGTAAAAGAAGGTAAAAAGCAACCAAATCCCAGCAGCCACATAAAACGATCCTCTGGGTGCAAAGAAAAAATAAAAATATATATACGAGTCTAAGCACCGAGGCTCCACTGAATGATTAACAGTCCAAAATTTTTTCCAGGTCCAATAAAACGATCGGTGTGGCTGCTCTGCCAGATGTTACAATAAAGTTAAACATCTGTGAAAAAACAGGGTTTATGGGGTTTAGTGGAGTGAAGTTAGCAGTAGCTTAGCGAGTGATAAGGAAGTTTTTTTGTTGTTGTTTTTAAGTAAAGCACTACTTCAGCTTTGCATGTAAAGAAAAGCAGAAAACATAACAGTTAACATAGAAAGCTGTGCTGCTACAAACACATCAGCACTGAGAGGACGTAGACTGCTCAGGGTTCCTAACAGCCAGACGAATGTTCAAAGATCTGACATGACTCCATCCTCAGCACGGGTGAGGTCGGGGTCGATATTTCCGGGAGACTCTTGTAGAGATGGTGGTTACCTCATCACTCACAAACCAGGTTATGTTACATTTAATACTGAAATATCCATCCTCACCTTCGTACGCCTTAGCAGCGTTGACCAGGCTGGACCACTCGAGTCCGCTGGCTGTGTCAGGGAGGGGCATCATGCCGGGGTCGAGCCTCCTCAGAGGGGGGAGCTTGTCTCTCACTTCGGTCAGAGAGAGCTCGGATGCAGAGAGCGGCACTGAGGGGCAGCCGAGTCATGATTAATGATCTGAACACAATCACAGCAGGTTTGCTTTAGTCGCTGCAAGTCACTGGGAGGAGAATCGAGGCACTCACCCTTCTTGCTCTGCATGTGGTTGGAGTGGTTGGAGGAGCCGGCGTGTTTGCGTGTGGGCAGCGTGCAGGTGAACAGCACGTCGCTGGGAGTCGTCTGGTTCTCAGAGCTGGCGAAGCCGGCGTCCCTGCGTCCGCTGCACAGCGACTCGTCGGAAAAGGTGCGCTGCAGGGGGCGTCTGGGAGACTGCAGGGAGAAAGGTCAGAGGTCAGAGCTGTGTGCTCATGAGAGGAAAACGGATATCATCCACCAGCACAATGCTCACAGGGTCTCTCTGCGGCGTCTCCCCCGGGTTGTCCATGATGATCAGTTTCTTCAGGTCGTCCTCGATGCTGCTCTTGTACGTCCGTCGTGGCGAGCGCAGGTCCCTCAGTGACGCTCGCAGACGAGGTTGTCCAAACACGTTCTTTGAATTTGTGTCCACCTGCCTGGAGACACAAGATATGAGAACAAAACACAAACATACAGTCTTCCTTTATTGAACACTGCTTCCTGCCTCTTTCCACGGTAAGAAACTATGTTCCACTTTATTCTGCCTACAGTATCCTCCAGTGTTTGTTGGTCCACTGCCACTCACAGGAGAATCAGAACTCTTTGGATGGTTTCGAGTAAAAACAAACACGTGTCGAAGGATTTCACTTTGTTTAGGAGCGATCACGCGCTCCCCGGGTGGATGGATATACGGACTTGGAAAGTTGTTCCGATCACTTTGTTTTGTGGATGTGATTTTAAGTAACAAAGTGAAAACGAGGCAGATGTTACAAAGTTCATGGCCACTGTGCGGGCCCAAGTTTGACTCCACGGATAAAGACACAAAAAGCCAAATGCCTTCAATTTCATTGATCAGCGCTTTAAAAATATGAAATTTTAAAACATAATTTGCACTGTTAATCACACATTTATGTCCACCATCCTTTTGAGTACGAGGTCATTTATCGGATTATTTTGGTATAAAAGGAGGTGCCTAAAAATAATTTCTATCCCGGAAGAAGAACCAAGCATCAGAGCAGATCCGCTGAGGCTGTCGCTCTTACTTCTTGCTGTTGCTGCTGTCGGAGCTCGATGCTGTAGTCGAGTTTGAAGGAGAGGGGTTGGAGTCTTCTGCATGCCAACCGCTTGGTGTGCTCTTGCCATATGATGACTTGGGGGCGGAGCTGGACAGAGGGGTGGAGCTTAGCTGAGCTGAAGTGGGCGTTACGGTAGAGGCTCGGACAGGCCGTGGTTTCTCCACTGGAGTTTTGTAACCCTGCGGTGTGTAGGCCCTGAAGGTTACAGAAAACAGACAGGAAACATGACAAACATTTAAAAATCATTTGTATTTTGACTGCATCAATTGAACTGAAACACATCCTGTGCTCAGACAGGGGTGATATTTTTTTATGAAATAGTAAAATGTGTCAGTTTAAATATCAGATGTTTTCTACGCTCTAATGTGAATACAGTATGGGTTTATGAGATTTGCAAATCATTGAATTCTTTTTTTATCCACATCTTAAACAATGTTCTGGCTTTTTAGGACTTGGGGTTACGTGTCTCGATCATCATGTGACACATCGCATGCACAGAGTACAGAACAAGAGCTGCTGGGACTCAGAGTTTCAGCACAGATTGCTTTAATCCAGCACGGAGTGACCGAAGCGGGTGGAGGTTTGTGTGCTGAATCCCTGCGTGGATTTATATCACAGCCCTGACAGTTATAAAACCACGAGAGCAAGAGATCACATGATGATCTTTATGTTTGACAAGGATTAGACGGCCATAATCCTACTTTTTCTCTACATTTAGTTTAGTATTGAATATTTTCAGTCATGTGATGATGCTACATAAACTAAAGACTGATAAAAACACTCTAAAGTGATTAATAAGCACATGAATCTGAGCCTAAAACTGTAACATTCACTCTATTCACTGTCCATGGGGCCTGGCATTCTTACAGGAAAAGGATCAGCAGGCGATGCATCTCATCAGGAGTTTGTCACTTACCTGGGCTTGAAAGCATCCATTTTATCAGCGCTGGAGCCAGGAGGAGGGAACGTCCTCGTCCTGTACCCTTTGTTCTGATTGGCCGCAGCTGGTATAATGGGCGAAGACTCTCGTCTCTTAGCCTCCCCCCCGCTGCCGCCGCTCCTTCCCACCGACAGCTCCGGGATGCCACTGTAGGTCGCAGAGCTGTGCATGGCCTTGTGGGACTGGCTGTTGGACATGTTACTGTGGCGACCGTTTCCGTAGTGGGTCGAGGCGTCGATGCCGCTATCGTTGGATCCTCCCTTGTTAAGGAGGTCGGGGTCAGGATCGGCCGGCTCACCGAGGCAACCCACGCCTCCTCGCTCTCCAGGTGCGCCTCCGTCGAACCAGCGCTCGTCGCTGTGGCTGCTCGAGGCGTTACTGGATAGGGTGTTGCTGCTGGAGTGGCTGGAGTACTGAGTCTCACCCTGCGGAGGACACAGAGTCAGAGGAGCTCAGCGAAAAGGCGAAAGGTGGAAAGAAGAGAGACGCAGTGTTGATGTTGAGTCTGACCTTCGAGTGTCTGTTTGGAGAGTCTTTCCCCGGGACATCCTGTCTGGGCATTCTCCTCTGCCCCCCTCCACCACCTGGTCCTCGAGACGCTGGGACATGCCAGAGAGGCTCTGCATCCAAACACACACATAGACAGACACTCTCAGGATTATAACAAATCACACTGAACGTCCACGGCTGTCAAAGAGGATTAAATACTTATAGCACATTTAAACACTGACCTCCCCCCACACACCAAAACCACACTCAGCAGCCTCTAGTCTGAGCAACAACTGCACTCTTTAAAGCAGCATGAAAACAACACATAAGAAGAGTGCATATCTATAGAATAAATGGAAGTGAGAAATTCTGTAAAAACTGTAAAAAAAAAAATAAAAAAAACCCCACTACATTACATACAAAAAGGAAATGGGATGCTGAAGTACGCACAGAAATACCACCGGAAATATGCAGTGAAGCACATTCAGCAACAAGTTCAAATTCATGGAACTGAATAAATAAATTATAACTGAAAGTTATAATGTGGTACACAAGCTAGGACTCATTTACACATACTCTGGATTTGTCCAAATTCAGACACATAATAATGTCTCTGATGCCCTCAAGAAGATATTTCACCAAAATCTTGCAAAAGAGTCCAAGATCGCATTGCTCAGCATCTAAGGGGTCAGCTAATAGATATCTTATACGACTACTATTGACAGCAGGAGTTAAAAGCACTATCAGCATATCAACCACATATGATTGGATGTTTGGGAAATCTGATAGAATAACATACTACTTAGGGCTTCAGAAAGGCTTGTTTATCAGCAGATAGAGACCTATTTTTTAGGACATTTAAACAATAATGTGAGACTTTTACAAGTCTCTGTTTAGACGTCAGCAATGAAAATATGTAGGGTGATGCTTAACGGCTTTTAAAAACCAAACCAATAAAAAACTCATTTTTTGCTCCTTATGAGATTTTACATTATATGTTACATAAGAGTAGACACATACAAGTGAGTTCAACATTTACTTCTGAAGGTGGTGCTGTACCTGTTTTGCTGCGCTCCATGGTACTCTCCTGACTGGTAAAGCCTGACGAAGATTCTCCACTGGAGAGGAGGTCCACACCGAGGTGAGGATCATACGGCAGCAGGGGGCGCTGTCCTGTTCCAAATCTATATGAACCACAGGAGAAACATTAGTGAACACATTCGCAGGGATTTTCCCGGTCCCTGGAGCTGCATATGTTTAAGGTGATGAGTCTGTTCTACCTTACTAAACAGAAGTCTGTGAATCCTCCTGCTGTTTCTGACCAAAATTGCATTTTGTGTTGCTCTGCTCTTTTAATCAGTCCTGATGTTATAATTGGTGGAAGGTCAAAACCCTTTTTTAAATAAAATAAGATGTACAGCTACTCAGACATCACGACAGAAAGGACACACTCTGGAATAAAACTCCCCAGCTGTAAAAATATAACGTTTCTGACTAACAGAGAACATTTCCAGCTTCTGCTTTGCATCCCTGTGGCGGTTGAATAAAACAAGTTTTTCTGGTTGGGTGAGATGTTATCAACCTCCACAGTGTGAGGAAGAGCCACCCACACAACAGATCCTTCCTCTGGGAGACTGTGTGTTCATACACGTCTAACTGCAGACCTGGTCGTGCCGCGCTATTCAGCCTGCGATTTGAACCAATATATTCCACCTTCAGCACACAAAGCATTTACGAGTAAAACCAGACATGTTTGATCAAGATCAAACGAGTGACAGTGGAGAGCTTGCAGAGTAAAACACCACACACCCACACACACCTGTCGGGTGAAGGTTTGTAGCGCACAAAGGGGCCCGGTGAGATTCCAGGTGGTCCCATCGTGGTGAGACTGACCAGGCCGGAGGGAGGAGAGGAGAAGCTGGCTGAGGGGTTTCTGTAGGGCCTGTCGCCTCCTGCAGGAGACAGGCTGTAGTGGTTCTCTGGGTAGCTGACCGGCCTGAAATACACAAAGGCCGGTGGGTAATCGAGAGAAACAAGCGTACTACAGAGAGGTGATTGATACATAACACAAATAAGAGAGATTTAAAATAACTGAGGACTAGTGTGTCACTCAAAAGAGCAAAACAGACTGAAAACACAATGAAAACAGCTTAAAATGTGTTGTTTTAGACAAACACCTGGAACCAACTCAAGTTTAAAAAACTAGTATTGACAGTTTTGGGGGAAAAAACTTCTTTAAGTGGAATAAAACCACACAAAGACTTTATTGTTTCCACTTTTTAGGTGAAACAAAATGCCAGGGTATCATTTACTATCAATACAAGTTTACGACCGTCTGGCAGGCTTATACGGTGCAGTAATCACACGAGTTAGCCTGAGGGCTTTTGTTACTTCACACATATCTGCCTCAGAAAACCCTGATGTGAAATGTTATATAGAAGGATTTTCAGGAGCCGTGCACAGGAGTTCCATCATATTTATGCTTTTTGTATGAAGAAAACATCCTGATGACAGGACTAAGCAGGTTTTCTTGGAGCAGTCACAGTTCATGTTCGGTTTATCCATGATGTCATCCAGCTGACATCACTTTTCCTCAAACATTCATTCAGTGATTTAACATCAAATCTTTCATCAGACAACATAAACAAACTAAGACAAGGAGCTGCAGAACAACTGTTTAGTTAAAATGCAATAAAACATTTCATCTACAGCCACCTGTACAGCTGCAGCACTTTTCTCCTCATCTCTATAATTAACTGTGTAAGATGATGACAGCTTCGTGATGTAAAACTGAAAATGCGACGAGGATTGAGGAGTTTGGACGAGGATACTATCTACTACAGGAAGCCTTTGTGAAGATGGCTCACTGCAATGCATATCACACTTTTACACCCATCATTAATTATTGCTTTAAGTCTTAATGAACAAATATCCTCATAGTATGCTGAAGAATGCTAAAGTAGGTGACAAGATTTTGTCATCACTGGACAAAGACATCCATAACAACCTTTTCGCATTCTTTACTTAAAGGAAATTTGACTCCTGCATCTCCTCCAAGGTCTGTATGAGGCTTTAGAACATCTAGCCTAGAACAAAGACTTTGGCCACTCACTGAGCTTTTCAGGTGAAGAGTACAATGAGGAAAAAAAAGTCAAAGCAGCTGCTGTTGTCCCTTTTCTACATTTCTACACACTGCAGGCTTTAAACACTTTTTATACTTGCTTTTTTCCCCTTAAAATCTGAATTTTAATGGAGTGATAAATAAAGACTTGGTGCAAGTGGGGCAGCAGCACATGTGTAGAAGTGAGGCTCACCTCTTGGAGCTGAGGTGCTGAGGCTCTCTGTAGGGAACTGGCATCAGGGGCTTGTGTGAGCGTACTAGTGGAGGAGGTGGGGGGCCGATGGGGGCCCAGCGCTGCATGCTAGTGGGGTGGAGCACTTGAGGAACAGGTGAGTTCTCCCATCGCCAGGTCTGGCGAGGAGAGGGTCGGTATCCTGCTGCTAGAGGCTCAGGTTCTGGTTTCTGCTCCATGGTCTTCATCTCGTACTCCTCGGTGCAGCCCCTACAGAGACAGAGGAGGACAGTTTATAACGGTACAGAGACACCACATCCACTACAAGAGAATTAAAAGCATGACACTTAAAATGCTGCTGTTTCCCTCCAAAACTCCAAGGTTATCTCCTTTACACAGCCTTCATGTGTAGTTTTTGATCCTCAGCACGGGTCAGTAAATGCAGCAGCCCTGAACTGTAGCTGAACCAGAACAGCGGTTTCTGTACCGAGTTCAGTGCGTGGAAACTGCTCAATAAATCTCCCCCAAATGCTCCACATTATTGTCGTCTCATAACTTACTTTGTGGATGCTCAAACACACTGCAGACATGTAACAGAGCTCACTAATGAGCTCCCCTGACGCCAATGGAGGGAGAAAGAGAGCAAAGTAAACCGATTATTGGCACATCAGGACTCCATCTCTCCTACTGCGAGACTGAGGTCAAGTGTGTGTGTCTGTGTATGTGTGTGTGAGAGAGAAATATCCAATCTCATCAAACAGCTCCTGAATCAGAGTCTTGGTAGACACAGCAGATATGTTTAGTAAAGGCACGCAAGGTTGCCTTGGTTGTACAATCACGCATCAAATAATTATGAATCTGTTTTTAAACCAAAGATCACACAGACATTCACTCTTTCAGCTCCCTCTGACTAAATAAATAAAAACAGCATGTAAGTAGCCCAGCACATGTCTTTTACACATCATCATCATCATTACTCCATTCACAAAGCCTCACTGAGGGAGGGAAGGAGGCATCAAATATGCATACTGGATGGCATTTAACATGAGACTAATGAAGAGAGGAGGAAATGAGCAGGAAAATGCTGTGAGGGTGAGGATTTAAAGTGAGGCAGAGTGGGATAAAGGCCACGAGGACAGAGTGTGTGTAGTATAAACTTTCATTATTAAACAATACGCATGTGGCGTATTAAGGCAATAATGCTGTTACCTTGTCTGACGTAAGTCTATGAATTTTCAGTTATTTACGTTTAATGGATGAATAAAAGTGTCTGTTATGCTTGGATAAATTAGACCCAATGATAAATTCACCACAGCATCAGAGGGGGGAGTGCATTTTTGTTTTGGGGGTGGTTATAAAGTCTTTGGGGGCACCAAAAGTTCCTGTAAGCAGCAGAACAAAAATAAAGTCAGAACAAAGAAGTCCATTATAGTTTCCCCAAACTGCAGAGCAGAGTCTTTAAACATGTTTTTGCTTAAAATTGGCTTCAACGATGAATCAAATGTTTGTTTTTAGCACACGTGTTAGCAGAATATCTGTGAGGCTCCTCAAAGTGCTGCTTGGACAAAACATTTCAAGATGTCATCGTGTGCTTTGGGAAACTGTGCAGGGGATACACGTTTCTTTTATACCGTGTGATTATTCATTTAACCTTGAAAATAATCAGCTGACTAATCCACAGTGAAAACACGCTACAGCCATGTCCACGGTAAAACACAAACACAACCCAGACGTCCTCAAAAACACCACCAGCTGATTTCAAATAACTTGTGCATTAAACCAAAAGACACACAAGTCGATGCACATGTGGTCGGGATATTTTCATCAACAACGGAATGAGTCAAATCCAATCAGTATCAATATGGTTACATAACAGCAGCGCGGGCTAACACAAACGCAGGAAGAGAGCACAAACCTTAGAGAGAGCAGAGCCTCAATCTGCCGGCATTCAGTGTTCCTCCCATCACGCTGGCTGATGTGACACAGCTGGAGCTCGTGCACGCACGCACGCACTCGTGCACGCACACAGTCAAATACACAGTGCCAGAAGTCACACCTTCTCCCCGTCGTATCTGTCCATCTTGCACGTTCGGAGCAGAGAAAGAACGGCAAAGAAAAAGCCCTTCCAACTTTGGTCTCTCTCTCTCTCTCTTTTCTTTCTTTTTCTCTTCCACCCACTGCTCTAACTCTCGGCGGTGTTGAGACACGTCCTCCTCACCCAGCGCTTCTCTGCCTCTCCTGCTCATAACACTCAACCCTGCCTCCCTCTCTCTCTCTCTCTCTTTCACTCTCTCCCTCCCTCCCTCTTTTCCTGTCCTTTTCATTCGCACAGGGCGTGCATTTTTAATTAATCACTTCCACTCCTTTATTTATTTATTTATATTTTTTGTGGACCTTTTTTCTCCTGCAGATTCCAGGCTTTAATCTCATGCAATCTGCTTGCCTGGCACACAACAGCAAATGAGTCGGATGGGGAGAGAGAGGAAGAATGAAATACAAGACTCTAATTATCAGTTGCTCCAATGCCACAGTACCATGTGTGTGTTTGTGCATGTGTGTGTGTCAAAGGGATTTAAGTTGGTGTAATTAAACTGCCTCCAGCATTAAAGAAATCTAACCACTGTGCGATCACACAGCCTGACACAATTACTGTATTTAGGAGCTCTGGTTCTCCGTCACAAGTGTGCGCGCACACACACACGGTTATTTTTTCACCTCAGTAACACCACATCAGCGTCTCATAAGGTCTCGTTATTCTGTCTCAATCAAGGCCTCGTGTGTGGATGAAAGGATGGAAAAGGGTGACGGCAGGGAAAAGATATAAATGATGTGGAGGAGAGGAAGTGACACAATAGCAGAGATGAGCAGATATGAAGAAGAAAGGAAGGCGGATTGTAGCTAATTCACGTTAAACAAATGCTTCTTTCTTTTTGTCTGTGTGCCTCATTTCGCCCGCTTCCTTTTCAGCCACGCATCTTTCTTTCTCTCTGTTTGCTCGCTTCCTCTTTTCACACACTCCCACACAGAATCATCAGAACATTGGAGTCTGGCCACTATCTCTGCCAGGCTTTTGTGTGTTGGAGTAATGAGTGTCCTGCGCTCTCTTCTAGCTCGCTCTTGTCCTTCCACTTCTGCCCACTTACACTGAGCGCGCTCCTGTGCTGTAACCCACTGTCCAAACATCTGCATTCATGACAGCTGTTTACAAATGAAGCTCGAAAGGATTCAACGGAAACCACACGCAGACTGCCACGCACCTACGAGGCCCGCCTTCTTCGTATGGAGGAATGATGATAACTTTGACTGTCACCGATGTCCTCAACAGGTCAATCATCTGCTCGTGCGTCAGCGTCACTGCAGCCACCTTACAGATCTCCACTAACCGGCTACCCTGCCTCAGGCCTGCCTGCCAGGCGAAGCCGTACTCCTCCACCTGGATGAAAAACAAAACAAAAGCAGAGCATTTATGCGCGGCCAAGAATCTTCAGAGTGCTTCAAAATTAGATCTGGTCATCTGACGGTACCTCAGCTACGGTGCCATCCAAGCGAACGTGGAAGCCCAGCTGTCCCAGTCCATTTCTCCTTAGTGTCATATCCACAGTTTCACATCCCACTGTCAACAACTACACAAACAGAAGGAAAAAAAAATCATATCAGATTTACAGTATTAGCTTGTTATATATATGGACTAACAAACTAAAGATCATCATAGCAAAGTAACAACCAGGTGATGATGACTTCTTACCCAGCACTGGGTCAACTTTTCAGTCTCAACTCTGCATGTATTTGGTGCTTTTAGTAAGATTAACTCATTTTTAAATATTTAATTTTCTGCTGGATTAACTCAAAGCTTGATCGAGTCCAGGAAATCTCCTCTTCCCAGCGTTTAATTCATCACTTTTTTCAGAGATTATCACAATTTGAAAGGCCTCAGATGAGCCAGTGCAGACAGTGGCATAGCTTCATTGAAAAAGGAAGACAACCACAAAAACATAAAGCAAAAAAAAACAAAACACAGAATACAGTGTGAATGTTGACACAATGACTTGCCTTTGAATTTAGTTTTTCAGTGGAATGAAAACCAACATCCACTGTGGAAATCCCCTGAGCTTAAAGGAGTATAAAAGAATGAAGGTGTTGCACTGATTTGGTCTAATAAACTTCAATAACCACATGAAACATTTCTGACTACAGGAAGCTCTAAAGAATAATTTTGTGCAAGCAGTATGTCTTGTTTGCACTAGACATACAGGGGCACAAATCCAAACAGATGAGGAAAGTTTCATGTTATTTTGCTCTAAGAGTTGGTGAGAAAGCAACAAAGCAATAAAAAAAACAACACAAACACCAAAGGATGTAAAGAAAACTACAGGCTGGAGAACAAGGAAGTAAACAAGACATGACACAACTGTGTTTGCACTGTAGTCTTTCTACAAGATCTGCTTATAACAGAGCCTGCATGACCCCAAATCCCAAAGATCAAGTCTTTGCTCCGAGGTCTCACCTTTAACCTCTGCACCATCTCCCTGATGTCCTGTGCACCTCCCTCTGGCACTCGAACTGCAATGTGGTCTCCTCTGCCGTAGAAGATCTTCAGTGCCAGCCGCTCCGGCGTCCAGCCGATCACGTCTGCACAGAAACAGTTGAACACCACCTCTTTGGTGGAGCAGTCTATGAGGACGATGTATTCAGCCGACACACCCAAGGCACAGGGGAGTTCTGCTCCCCCGCCTCCGCTAAAGTCCTGGGCCTGGACTCTCCAGGCGACCGCCCCGGCAGCACCCAGCTCCGCTCCCTCTCTCGCCTTCGTGCGCTCCCGTTTCTTAGATGCGAGGGAGATGAGGTTGTTTAATTTGCCGGCCGAATCCAGCGGCGTGCTGCTGACATAGTTCTCGGCCAGGTCGCGCAGGTACTCCTGCCGTGTTCGCGTCGCCATGGTGTGGAACTTCTCAGACTTGTGTGCTGCGTTTTCTGCGTTGATGACTTTGGCGAGAAGGAAGTTACGAAAGGTCTCTGGGTCCCGGAAGGTGACGCCGCTGGGGATGGGTGGTCCAAAGGGGGGCACATCCTTCATTCGCGTCACGGCAACACTGAGAGGCGGGAACAGTATTGGAAGTGAGATCCTAATTAATAACGTGCACCACGTGTATAGAAACATGAGTTTGTGCTGATGTAAACATTTACCTGTAATAGGTGTTTTCAGAGCAGGGGTTGTGAACACGAACAATAACAAAAACGTGCTGGAAGTGTGAACGAATATTTTGCGGGGTGAAGGGCAGCGCTCCGGGCTCCTGAAAGATGATGGTGACAATATCGTTCCCTATGTGCCTCTTTCTCAGGAGCTGAGCAGGAGAGAAGACATAAAAACGATAAATTAATAAAACGAGCGAGCGTAATTGGCATTCACACGACTGACTCAGTGAACGACAGAAAGTCCGACAGGGGAAAAGAGAGATTAAGACACTCGCTGTTAGACACCAAGCAACAGCTCTTTACGTAATTTGTTTTGCGGGTTCTGTGTGGGCTATTTGTGTCTGTGTGTGTGCGTTAGCTTGTCTGTCTATCTGCGTTTATGTAGGAGACGTGGCACACAGTGCAGGCTGTGTCTGTGGTGCGGTGCTTGCCAATCTGCTCTTCATCTGCAAAGAGAAGTGTGAAAATACCAATTATGTAATGCAGCCCACTGTTTGGCTCCTGTGCAGTACCACAGGAGCATCCTTCACTCGTACCCAGGCTGCTGTGTGAATATTTGAATTGCACTTCATGTTTTTTTTACAGTAGCATGAAAATCTGGGATATTTGGGGCCTCTTATGTATTAGCATATCATCATTTTCTATTTCAGCGCTTTGAATGTGACCCTTCATATGCATGATTCACCTGTTACTTACAGCAAATTTCTTCATTGTTCATTTAACCCAAGAACAGTTGTGCAGGTGAAGTTAGTGTTCTCCTTTATCCTGAATTCAGGAGTCATCACAGCAGCTTATGTTTCAACCTTCTTTTGCTTCTCCAGTCACTGAGGGTTATTTTTGCAGTGAGATGATGCCATCTAGAGGTTCAACTGAGTAAGTAAACCTCCTTGCTGTTGCAGCCCCTAAAGCCTCTGGATGGAGTTATTGTGCTGTTATAAACACCTGACACCAACACTCAGCTGTTCGAACATTTCAACGATTTCACATTTTCTCGTGTTACTAAAAGATGAGGAGATTATCAAAAAGCTTTTTCTATAATAAATAACTGATTGCTGGTATGGATATGGCAACAGTGAAGTTTAATTAACAAGATTAATGTATGTTTAATGACACCTCTTTGGCCTAAACTGCTCTGCTCCGACATACTGACACATTCAAAAGTGTGCACTAATCCCGAGCACCTGCAGGCACATGTGCACACTCGAGACAGGCTCTTACGCAAATACTCAAGCAAACTGTAAAAAATACCAACATGCTGAATTTTACACACTTTTGAGCGACACCAGCACATGCTGGGAACGCACAGCATCCAGAAGATCATGCAAGAAGAAAAATTTAGTCAAATTAAAAAAAAAAAAAAAGATAGAGAGGGAAAGTAAGAGGAAGAAAATATACTAATAACTACACTGCTGAACCCCACCCAACTCTGATCCAGACAAACAATGAAAGAAGAGACAGCCAGAAAGGAAAGAAATACCAAGACACAGAAAACAAAGACTATAAAAACACAAGAGGCTGAATAAAAACAAAAAATTCCAAATGAAGAGGTCGACAAAAGTCACAAGTTTCCACTTCATGAATTCTTGCCGTCGTTTACGAGCCAGAGAAAAAAAAGCAGAAGAAGCCTCAGCTAACAAACACAGACGTGCTTTCAAAGGCTGTGTGACAACAAAGGATCGACTTGGATGTTTTTTTTTTTTCTTTAGAGACGCACACCAGTGTTGGTGCTTTACTTAGGTGGGGCTGTTACCTGCTGTGGGTTGCTGGGCATGTATGGCAGCATGGTGGACACGTGGAACATTATCTCATAGCCCTGGTAGGTGGTGTACAGGGAGTGGGTGCCCGTAGAGTCCGCTGGAGGAAAGATATTTGTTGAAAGTCAGCAGCTGTTGACCACACATTAGTCAAAGTTTCTGATGATGCTTTCACTGTGTAACCCCCGGTTTTATGACACATATGCAACATTACTGACTGATGAGTCTGTTAAATGTAGTGAATTCATGAAAACTAAAGATGCTGCACGAGTTACTGTGTAAACATTCTTTATGGCTTTATCGAGACAAGTGAGTGTCTTTATGAAGAACATCCTTTAAAACCTAAAATACTCATTTCACAGTTTATTTGCATTTTTCTTTTGAGAATAGGAAACAGTAATGAAATGATACATTAAAACCACTTCTTCAGCAATGAGACCAACATGTAAAAATATGATTTCTAAAAGCGGATGCTATGCTGCAGAGCGTTCTTACTCTTGGTGTCGAGCTGTGCAGCGTATTTGGTGAATCCTTTGAGAAGCACCTGCTCCCCGAGCAGCTCCAGGAAGGCAGAGAAGGCGGGCGATGCCTCCTCGTTGTTGTACATCTCCTCCTCTGTGCTCTGCCCTGCACGGCACAGCAGAACACCCACCTTGTGCTTCTGACTTAACTACAAGGCAGAAGAGACACGATGTTAATATTACACAAGCAGAACAAGCACGAGCAGCTGAGAGACCACACACACAAACACAGCTGAAACACAGCACTCTGAAGGTTAATGCCAACAAACAAGCTTTTAACCCAAAAGTAACGTATATCTGGACTTGTTTACACACAGCTTTGTTGATCTATAAACCACCTGCACAAACAACCCAACAGCTCAGTTGTTGGCAAAATACCTCCACCCTACACTTGTCCCTCCATTAAATGAAAGGTGAGATAACATGGCCAAACATTACAGCTTGTATGGTTACTCACTCATGCTCAAACGTACCACACCCTTTTTCTTACAGCTTTCCCTGTACAACACTGCACTTTGCACCAGCACTAAATCAGTTACCCAAGTCTCACACACTACCTGAGAACACCACGTGCCACAGCTTCACCTTATTAGTGTACAATTTTACTCTGCAGTCTTCCAGCTTGCTGGAACAGCTGTTCGGTGCACTCAGTGCACCGTAAACTCACCCCCTGTTCATCCAGTTTAAGGAGCTGCTCTGTGACTTTGGCCGTGCTGAGCGCCAGTCTCAGACAGGACACGTTGAGTTCGGGGACGACCTGTTCCAGGACCTCTTTGAGTGGCAGACCCCGAACGGTGCCGTGCTTCCCCGTAGACGCCACTGCATCTTCTAAAATGGAGCCGCGCAGCGTCACCAGCTGTGGGTTCAGAACAACATTAGTTTAAAAAACAAAACAAACTGGAAGCAATTTGAGCTTCCTACATAACAAATATTATTCAAGTGTCATGGTTGAAATGTCAAGAAAATTTATATTCCGCCCCCCAAAGGTGTTACAGTGAATATAACCTCATGATGTGGGAAACAACAGATCAGTGTGATTATAGTAACCAGCCTTGCTAATGATGTGATGATGTGCATCGTTCTTGTTTGTGATAAAACCACTGGATTTATTGCTGTTGTTTTGTTTTTTTAACCCATCGATGAATTTAAATAGTTAAGCAGTAAATTTCTTTTTGCATGGTCTTAAAGTTTAATGCTTTCTGCTGTTTAGTGTTTTTCCTTTAAGGGCTCAAGTTTTAGATTTTTGGTTGGACATTTATGTTGTACACCTTAAACATAAATAAAAAAAATATTTAGATTAAGTAATAATAAGAACAGTCTTAGTTTTTAAATTCTTATTTTTTGGATTTCTTTCTTGTTCCTTTCTTTCTTTGTTGACATAAAACTTCTGAAGTGAATTGAACTTTAGTGTATCAGACATATTGGCTTTGTGGGTTGGGTATTTATGAAATAATAAAGCAGCATTGCCGTAAAAAAGTAACAATGATGTTGATGTTGAACTCTACTGAGAGAGGTCAGAGGTCGCTGTACTACACTTTTGAGAAAAAGGGGTTTGGATGATTCACAGTATGGGAGTCTGAAGCAGGTCGGTCCATCAGATCACATTAATGGCGCCCTGCTGCCCTGAAGCATCTTCCTGTTTGTCAAACACGCACGCAGTGACAGGCGTCTGGATGGAGGCTTTAAGTTCAGCGGTGTTGTGAATCAAGATTCTGCTCAGTATTGTGCTGCTTCCTGATCAGGGGGAACTGACCTGCTTCAAAACAGTTAGACTATAATAACCTCTGGGAGGAGTGGGCTGCTGCTTCTCACTTGCAGACTGATTAAAAATGTATGGCGGTCTCTGGAGCTGGCAGAGGCCGGAGAGACAGCTGAACCTCAGCGACTCGGGTCTGCCGCAAGGAAATGAAGCCCGACCGACCCGCGGCTGAAGTTACGCAGATATCGTTTCAACTCGTCAGCCTGTGAGCAAGGCCGAACGAGTGACTGCGACGTGCTGAGCAGAAATATCAGAGGGGGGGGCTGTTTGAATGTGTGACAGAGGAGAAAGAGGAAGTCTCCCCACCTTGCTGTGTCAGCACAGAATTAAATGACAGGCTTAGGGGGATGGATATTTGAGAGCGGCTGTGGCTTGAGTGGGAGAGAATAAAGTCCGCAATCAATCTCCTTTTTTCTCTGTGTGGGAACAGTGGGCCTGGACTGTGTCTGTTAGCTTAGCTCTGTGTACTTAGATGGTGGAGAGGCTCCATTGTTATACCAGAGCTACAGTGATGAGGCCAGGCAGCCATGTAATCCTGCTAAAAACAACACAGCACAGCCACAAAGAAGGACACACTCAGGCTAAGACTGCATTAACACAATGAGGAGAGGCGAGCTTGTTGTTCGAGCGGTCTTTATGATGCTAAACCGGTAAAATATATTGATTGAGATTAAGCCAATTACTTCACAAGACCTCTGACACAAACTGTACTGTGTTATCATTTTAAATGCCAACCATGCACAAAATAAAAAAATTAAAAAAACCCCCACAAGACTGAGCTGAGCAGAAAGTGAGGTCTAAGTGGTGTGAACACTAGCACTAACTATTAATTTCCAGAATTTTCATCCATTTTCCAACAGCTTATCCCACCTGTCATAGGATGAGAGGCAGGATACACCCTGGACACGCTGCAGGGCTAACACAGAGAAAGAACCATTCACACCTTCAGATAATTTAGAATTGGTAGCCCCGCATCGAGATAGTCTCCAACTATTTCAGTTACAGTAAACTTAATGTCTTTCAGTTTTGGACTGTTAGTCAAACTACAAGAGTCATTCTACTTGACTTCGGTAAACTGAGATGGAGAATTTACATTAATTAGTAGGAAAATAATCATCAGTTGTGTCTCTGAACAAAGATGTCTTTCCAAAATTGTGTCTTGGAAACTGTGGAAGTAAAACCTCTGAAAACAACCAAGAATGGATGCAGAGAATCTGAAAACTCATTCTCTACAATCATCAGCCCATCATTTACCACATCATGAGTGTCTGATCCATCAAAGAGGAGAAGTAGCTGGCTGTGGGAACAGCCCGTGTTTGGTTTGGCTTTAATGTGCTTGGACTGAGCAGGTGGAATTTTCCACTGACAGAGAGCAGAAGAGGGATGAGCAGAGGGGCGAGGGGACAGAGGGAAGGTTATAATGAGGGCACGTGTCACAGGTAGGCCTGGAGAAACTGAAAGCAGTTGAGTAATTAACAGACTCTGACTGGAAACCCCCGTGATCAGCATATAAACACAAACACACACGCGCATACCTCGCTCGTCCTGACGATGAGTCGGTACTGGTACTGGTCTTTCAGGTCTTTGGTGTCTTCCAGTTTCTCTCTGCGGATGCTCAAGGCCACAGGGCCCAGCTTATCGTCTGTCCCGAAGTAGTTTGAGAGCTCTGGAGGAGGTCAGAGACAACCAAGGTTAAAGTCTGAGAAGCAGAGAAAGTTCTGTGTCTGAACATGTGCCTGTGTTGTGTCTACACCTCAGTGTGCCAGCAGACAGGCGATCAGATGAGTTTTCCAATAATAAAAGAAGAAGCAGCAGCCAAAGAAGTGCTATCAGTGATGAGTCGAGCATCGGAAATGTAATCTTCATCTACTTCCACATCGTTTCCAGATTCTCTCTAACTGCTTAATCCTTGAATGAGAGTAAACTGACCAGCTTTATGTTTTGGAGTGTTTTTGGAGCCATAAAATCAGATAACAACCACCTTTTTGTTTGCCCTGGAAAACTGATGAATTTATTAAAATCCTGTTTAAGGTAATCCTGTTTAAGAAAGGACTCTATGAACTGTACGCATTAATTTATTTTTAATTATTTTACCTCGAAGGCAAACTCTAGAGATCAACAATCTCTTTTATGAGAGGCTCCTGGGTGCAGATAGTGATCTTTAACCTGCATGATGGCAGAAGAAACCGAAACTCTGAGAGAAAACCCACGCACACACAGTGAGAACAAACTCCAAACGCTAATATGAGGCACAGCACCGTCTACAGACCCACCATGCTGCTTCCCTATTTAAAAATAAATAACACGTTTTAATTACAGTAGCTGCACAGAGAGAAATTATCTAGGCAACATACCTCACAATGATTTAAATCAGTAATATCAACATGACTACATGTATAATGAGCACAAAGCAGCAGAAGTGGCTACAGAAATGTGTTGAGGTTCACAACATGACTGAGAAGGAGAGTAAGCAGCACATATAACACACTGGCTCTCAAATTATTCTGTCATGTCCCACTTCACAGGATGAAAAAGTTCACAAGCACTGAACTGATACATAAGAAATGAGATGAATGGGAAAGAACTTGACTTACAGAGACTGTCTGGATGTTGTGTAATTCATGTGTACTTAGCAGGCCTGACAGATGAGGCAGCATGACCTTTAGAATGAGACCATTAAAAGGAGAAATATGTCCTCAGCCTTGTAACTCAAGGAAGTGAATAAAATGTAATGTCCACAGCAGTCAATTAGCATTGTCGGCACAACACGTTCACCTATTAAAGGGGCCGAGACAGAGTTATCGCCACACTATACTAGCATCTTGCCGATATTCCTCTAAAGCTCATAAGCTGAGCCGTGCTAATGCCAGTGCTGCAGGCATTATGGAAAGAAACACAAATTCTCCAGAACTGTGAGGAGGAATCCAGTTTGACAAGTACTCCTCCTCCATCCCACCGCTGGAGTGAACGGGGATGATGGGCACGTTAGGAGACTCGGGCCTGATCAGCTTCTACGCCACGTCCTGTGGTGCAAATGTCAGCTTTTTGATGAGGCTTTTTGACGTGCACACGCACACAATCTCTGCAGCGTTTTGGGGGACAGCTAAGCTGGAAACAAGTCAGCAGATGAACATATTTTTGGAATGATAACCTTTATCTGTGTGGCTGCAGGCCTGCCTCTGTCTCTCTCTCTCGCTCACACACACGTGCGGCTAACAGCATCTGTCACTAATTAGGCTTCAGCCAGATGATGCACGCCAGAGGGAAGTTTCATCAACAGTGTCAGAAGAGGTGATGCTGACAAGAAATGCCCAATGACAAGCTCACACAAACCGCCTCCTCTGAAAATTGGTGTGACATTTGACCTTTAACAACAGATCTAAAACAACTGTTGTTAAGTGCTCCTCCCGACCTGCAGAAAGGCAGGTGGCGTATCATCAGGTCAGAGTTTGCCAGCAGAACAGACAGGTACACGTGTAAGAAAAACTGTGGGAGGTTGGCCAGCTCAGCGCTGGGGCCCAGCTGGATATAAAGAGCTGCAGGATGAGATGTGAGAAACTCTGAATGGACAAACAATATCGTCACAATCTAACTCCAACGGATGACAGCAAGAGGCACAAATTGGATTATAAAGGAAGATCATTACGTCAGTATTGTTGAGCTCTCAGTAGTGATTAACACCAGTGGGCGGACATCATCCGACAAGATGAAGAAATTTGACTACTTTTAAAGACTTATTAGTCACTTAGAAAAGAGAAAGAAAAAGCAGAGCAAGTGTTTCTTGTTTCAGAAACTACATCTGGACACATATAAGCAGTAATCAAAAACAAGAATGAAAAACATTGGGTTTCAATGTGGAAAACGTATGTCTGTAAATCTGTTCCACGGTTTAAAAAAAATCTGTTAGCATCTAGCATCTAGTTTTATAGTGCTCACTTTCAGGGTACTTAGATTTTAAAACATAAATAAATATTTTAAGTTTGTTTTTTATTATTTCATTTATGTTTAATTATCATTTTTATTATGTTTGTTCTGTTATTCCTCAACATTCGTCCGTAAAGTACCTTGAACTGCACTACACTACACTGCGAAAGGTTTTCACTGACTCACAAAACATAAGCATTTTTTTTCTGAAACTGTAAAGATAATTTATACAATTTTATTACTGAGACTGAATGTTTATGAAGTATAACTGTTGTGTCTTTCAATCAGATTAATGGCTCTCATGAGTGAGAAGTGATTTCTGTTGTCTCGGTTACTAGAAACTCATCAAAGATAGAACATCCTAACATGTCGCATCTTGTTCTTGTTTCATGTTCTTTGTAAGTCAATTTTCATCGCTGTGTTTGCCGGAGGTTGCATTGTAGTAAGCGTACCATGCTAAATGTGTCAGAAACTGAGCCCTACCCTTTTCTTATTAACTCAAGAGACTCTTGGAAATGAAAACTTCTGGTGATTATGACATGAACACAGCTGGCAGTTAGATCAAAGAGTATTTATAGTATTGACAGTGGAAGTGATGGCTCTGCAGCAGAGTGAGTGTGTTAACTGTGTATGACTCAGTGCTACCTTTTCCATGGAAGTAGTCTCTGTAGTACCTAGCGCCCAGGTCTACATGCTCTATGCTGTACAGTTTCAGTCTTTCCAGTCTTGTAGCCTGCTCTTCAGTGGCCACCTCCACCACTGACACGCTGGCGTTACTCTTCCTCAGCCATCCCCTCCCCCCGTCCCCTCCTCCTCCATCTCCTCCTCGTTCTAATGACGAGCTGAGGAAGCTGATGTTGCGCTCTCCGTGGCCTCCGGTTTCATTGAGGAAGTGTGGGCAGGAGAGGAGAAGTGGACTGGAGCTCTGGGCTCCAGCGCCATCTAGAGGGTCCACACCCAGTGAGGGCGTGGTGGAGCCCTGGTCGAGGCTCAGAGTCAGATCCTCGATGCTGGAGTAAATGGGGTCGTTTACACTCGCTGAGGATCTGGAGACTGACAGAGACACTGAGGCTGCTGATGCTCCCGTGGCCGTGTTTCTCCTCTGCGTGACAAAGCCACGCTGAGCCGCTGCCTCGTGGAGGTCAAACAGGATGCTCTGAGCGTCAAAGTGGACAAAGCTTTTTGGACACACCCACGATTTAAAGGAGGAATTGATGGCAGCTCGTGTTCCCCTGTCCTCAACAGTTTCTCCTTTCCCTCCATCCAGCTCCCCTCTATTGGAGCTCCGAAGTTTCCGAAACAAAGAGGAGGTGCCCAGCGACGACTCTGTCCCTCCACTTTTCTTTCTCACTCTCTCAGTGCCGTCTTTCCTTCCTGTCTCTCTGTCTTCCACACCTGTGGGACCAGGTGAGGGCGCTGAGGGGAGAGGTCCAGGTGGCGAGTCTGGAGCACGCAGCAGCTCGCCGATTTGTATGGGTGCAGAGCTGCGCTGGTCAGGCCTCTCCTGGCGGAACTGGCTGATCATGTCAAAGAAGCTCTGGTCAGGGATGCCTTGGATGTCGATGGAGGAGGTGCTACCGTATTCCCTGAACCGGTTCCCCAATCCGCCATCTCCTCGAGCCTCCACCTTTATGCAAGAAGAGGAGACAATTTCAGTGTGTGATAACAGCTCAGTGGTTAGAACATCAGCCTTTTATCGATCTAGGAGCAGATTTTAGACAAATCTGAAAGCTGTCAATCAAACCAGTCACACAGAGAGCTCCTCAAATAAAAAAAATAAAAAATCTATAAAAAAGAAATATCAGACAGTGCTTCAATGAAACAAGAATAAAGGCTGAACAATGTCTAGATTTCTTATACTGCGGATTTTATAATTAAGTTACAATTAACAGTTTGGTATACATTGTTAAAAAGCCAAGTGAATCCGTAATAATAATAATAATAATAATAATAATGGATTGGATTTATATAGCGCTTTTCAAGGCACCCAAAGCGCTTTATAATGCCACTATTCATTCACTCTCGCATTCACACACTGGTGGAGGCAAGCTATGGTTGTAGCCACAGCTGCCCTGGGGCAGACCGTAGTACATTTTGGACTGACAGAGAGTAATTTAAAGACCTCACTCTAACGTGTGGTTCGCTTTTTAGTTTCTGTCAGTTTACTTAAATCCTGGCAACCTGCCAGAACCTACACAGACATATTCTTAAGATGTCTTTATCAGATGTCTGATTTCTTCTGCAGGTGGCCTGGAGGTAAGGGAACAGCCAAAAACATCTGCAACAATCTCATTAGGTTAGCATGTCAACCCATACTAACTACAGCTGAAAATAAATAAACCTGCACAACAACAACATCATGAATTCACAGAGCAAGTGACATGAAAATGTAAAACTTCACTTCATTAATCACATTAAAGTAAAGCAGGACAGAATTTTAAAACCGCAGATATGTGATTTCAGCATAGCTTGAAAAGTTAATACCATTAAATCCGCCTGTCAAAGCTTGATAAACTATTTGTTTAAATGTTAATGGAAGATCATCTGTAACCGCAGACATGTGCCACAGCATCTGTGATAACAGAAAGGAGTTTAGACTAAACACACAGTAACAACATTTTACGTTTTTAAAGTTTTCTTGGACGGTGTAAATATGTCCACAGAGCAGATTGCAGAGCTGTATCACCTGCATTCAGTCACTGGTGTTTGTGGATGTCAGTCATTGTGAAGTCATGCATTGTAAAGTTGGTTTGTTTGAGTCATTTAACTCAATCTGGACTACTGCTAAAAGGAAAACAATTAATCCAGTTAGGACCTACACGTGTAAAAGAGGCACTAGAGGGAGATTTCACACTCACCTCATTTTCATCTTGTTCGCTCAGCGTCACTTCACTGTTGGAGCGCTTTCTCAAAGGTGGGAACACTCTCAGGCTGAAAGGAGAACTTCTCTCACCGCCAAACTCTCCTACATCCTTGGACCTCCGCCGGGGCAACCTGGTGACTCCTCCCCGCACCAGCCTGAAGTCAGACAAAACTGATAAAACTGAACCGTCATCGCCGTAGTGATTGCCGCCAATCTGCCCATTCTCGAGCAGCGACTCCCGGGACTGAGCACGGCGTGGAGGCCATTCTGCGATCCGTGCACGGACACCCATTTTGGGCACAGAGATGCGTGGTTGGATGACCGGGTCAGAGGGACCTAGCGCCGGGTGCCCATTAGGGGTGTGACGAAATGGAGTGTGCTGGGGCAACCCTCCTCCGCCTCCATCGAGAAGGTCTGAGGAGGTGCAAGTTACCCCTCTGTCTCTGTAACTATTCATGACACCCCAGGAGAGCTCAGGGCAGGGGGGCAGGGGGCTGGCATCCCATATTGGGAGGGGTGCTGGGGAAGGTGCTGTTACGACCTCCAGCTCCCAAAAACATTGCTTTTAACAGGGAGGGTGGGAAAGACTTCACTGGTCCATCCAATCTGGAACCAGGCCGTCGTCCTCCTCTTCTTCTTGTGCTTCTTTCTTGGATGATGTCTGATGCAGATCTGAGAGGAGATACAACAACAGGCATACAATCAGGAAAAATATTAAGACAAAGACAAATGTGCCTTAAAATACACTGATTTTTAAATCATAAAGCCTGTGTGACCCATATTTTTTCCACAGAGTCAAAACTCAGAGTCTCTAAACTGTAAAACAACGTAGGACTGATAAACCAGAGTGAGAGAGAAAATAAGGTGAGGGGATATGACAGAGGATTTCTCCCATCCAGGCTAATCTTCAGGAGGCTGACAAGGGATATTATTATCACATATGGCGCGCACACACAGAAAGCCGCACACCCACGGGACACGAAGGCTGCAGCCGCTCTGCTGCAGATTAAAACCTCAGAAACACTAGCTAATTTTATCAGACAAGAAAGTAATACAAATCCAAACAGGGAGAGTGCACAGACAGTTTAAATACACTGAAGCATTTTCCCACTGCATAGATTACAGCAGGGCTCAAAAATGATCTTTGAGGGAGGGGGCGACTGCACACATAAACACGAAAGTCTATGCATTCTTTTCTTATTCTGGGCCATTTGATGATTGTTTTGTATTTTAAGCATGAGTAAATGAAACCCCCCAATTTTTTTATATACCAAAAAAACAAAAGCGTCCTATATTTGTGTTCGCTGTTATGTGGGCTCACGGCTGTGACAGTCACAAAGAAGTTACTCTGTTTCTACTCTTTCCACAGCGCGACACTAAACAACTTTGTGTGGTTCATAGTTTTTAGGAGAGAGAGAGAGAGAGAAAGAAAGAGAAAGCAAAAGAACACTTTACCAAACCTCACCCTTTTGGCTAAAGTAGATATCAAAAGTCAAGAAAGTGGGTGGAGGAGACTGGAGCACTGCTTGGTGAACCACAACAGTATTTTTTAACATAACACTCACACAGCACCAAGTCTTAAAAATGAACTAGCCTTATAAAGACTTCTGTTTTCTCTCTTCTGAGGTTTTATGGTTACACGTTCAGCGAACAGGTACAGGAATACGGTCACGTCCAGCTTACTCTGTCAACCTGAAGACTGGACTATTCTGATCTTGGGTCATTGTGAGTGCAGACAATAGACTGAAGTCATGGTTGCGTGTTTTTGGTTTTGATTTCGTTGGTACTTTAGGGTGACCGGCAGGGAATTTATTTATTTATTTTCTTTTTTTCATGATGTGGTTATGACTCGACTGCGTGACAGCAAGAAATGATAATGTGCTGGCATGGTGGTCCATATGCAAATGTAAAGAGAGACCCAGTAAGGGATCTTGGCAGTACAGCTCTGCGGTGAAAAATGTTGGGACGCTGCGTAAAAAGTTAATGAAATCAGAATGTCATAATCTTCAAAATCATTTAAAACCTCACATTTAACTGAAAACCGACTTGGAAATTTTACTGAGAATTAAACCAAACCCATAGTCATTTGACTATTGCCCTGGAACCAGGAGGGCAATAGTCAAATGACTTGCTTTGGAGCTTTCTTTCTAAACAGAAACCTGATAAACCTTCACTGCAGGTGACGAACAGTTAAAAGGTTCACTTTAGTGCTTTGAAGAACATTTACTTACATTTAAGTAACTACAGCATAGCATATAAGTATTGAAGAGACTGATGTGGATTTATGGTGTTGTTTGTGTTCATTTGACCAGCTCTCGCTATGCTGTGAGAGGGATTGTGGGAATTCAACCAATGCAGAGGCTACAAACAAAACTTTGCCCTGGGTAGAATACTGATTGGTTGCAAAGAAAGGGAGTGACAGCAGAGTTCAGCATGAAGACAGTGGCTGCAGTGGACAGTTTCAGTCTCATCTCACTATAAGACGTTGTTCTGTCTGACTTCTATCTTCTCTGCAGCATGTACTGTCAGAGCCATGAAAACCAGAAAACCGGCCTGCATCGACACTGGCAGACATATTATCCTTGTGCTGTCAAGACAATCCCACTTTCTTTGTGTTTTTTTTTAGGTGTTTTTTCTGATAACCTGCAGCTATCAGAGCATTTTGTAGCCAAACTACTGCTTACCTGGACAAAGAATGCACATATTTAACAGCTATTTTGGATGAAACAGAAACCACGGGTTATGGAAAATGTTTTAAGAGCTGCAGATACCAACAGGGAATTTGGCAAGTGTGAAAATGTGATAAAATGCAGTCTCAGTGGGGGGTTACTTGTTATTAATATGATATTCAGCTTAATGTCTGAAATGTAAATGTGCTTAATTCTCTATGCTGCAGACAGACCACTAGAATTTCTCTCTTTCCTTTATCATTCTCAGGTTTCTGTCTAATCTCAGTCTCCATTTAGTTCTCCATTGTGAGGTTAAAGCTCTTATCTATATAAGGCTCCACACAGTGAATAAGCTCATCATCTGCATATATACCTTTATAAAATATCCCCATAAAGTTCCACTGCTCACCATTTAATTTTTTGTACTTCTTTGGAGTTCCATATTACTCTGCTGTTATACTTAACTTTCATAAAATCCTAGGGTTTCATGTCCCCACTTCCATCATATATGCCACTCATCTGTCACCTGTTTCTTGCATCACATTCAACCGTACGTGTCATCACATGGTGCTTTCACCTCACTTTCACCAGTTGCCAAACTCATGGTCATAGTTAATCAAAGAGGAGCAGTACAATTTTACTCGTAAGACAAGCGCTTTAAAAAATGTAATATGATTCAAACAACAGCAGGAACACACGCTCAAACACAACGAACCGCTGCATAATTACGTCCAGCATTAAAATTTAAGCAGTGACACACTACACTGTTGCACACAAAGCTGCAAGGGAAGCTCCAGAAAGACAGGAGTTAAACATTTAACTATTTCCAGTGAGAACGAGCAGAAAATGTGCTCTCTCCAGCTACACGTGTCTTTGTGAACTCTACAAATGTCGACTCCTGGGTTGGCTATCGCTTTACAAAGTCCAATTTGCATAACGTTGAGCTTTCCATTGTGTAAAGGCAGCTCACAGTGGTCCCAGTGTCTTTTATGATACACAATGGCTTTTATGAGAGCTAGCTCAAGTCCTTTTTGGCATTAAGACCGCATTACTCATACACAACACATGCACATGGGCAACATCAACAAAACTCATTCACGGCAAACAGAATCTCCCTATCGTCATACAGCCGCGCGGATGTATCATGTCTTTGTTTTTACGGAACCACAGTCACTTCCGGCCCAAAGACGCCTGCTCTGATCATGCTTTCTGACAGAGTCCTTCCTCTTTCAGAGGGCTGTCCTGTGATCCACTGAGGCCCAATCGCAGATTATCCGCCCCAGCTGCCGGAGCGGTAGAATGGCTTCATTATATGTCTGAGGTGCCTGATGAGAGAAGCAATGTAGAGAGTGTGGTCTTCTTTATCAGTGACCTTTGCCAGAACACAGCTCCTTAGTGAGAAACACATCTGATTAAAGCTGTTCTCACACATAAACTCCGGAAAACACCGGGTGAATCAGGTCGGGACTTTTTCTGAAGTTGTCCTTTCTCACATTTACAAGGAGATGGTTCAGATCAGCTGTATTCTCATTAACAGGAGCTCCCAGAGTGAGTGAAGCCAACAGCATAGTGACTTAAACCTGCGTTCTTTCTAATGTGGATGCCAAATAACATCCAATCCTATAGAAGCTCTTGGTGCTCTGTGTTTATTGGTGCGTTTTCCTGGTTTATTGGTGTTTATTGTATAGGTAAGGTGTACTTTATTAATTTAGTTACTGGTATTTTAGGCCTTTGGCAGATAGGATAATGTGGACAAACAGAAAAGTAGAGAGACGTGTAGTTAGTTCAAGGTCTGGAGCAGAGTCAAACCCAGGCTGCTGCAGTAAGGACTTCAGCCTTTGAGGTGCCCCTCTGTGAGGTAATGCAGTGCATATGTGATCTACAGCCATGCTACAGGCACTGTGTGGCAATACTTGGTCACACATGTGCTACTAACATGCTGTTGGTTAGCATGTTTGATGTTTAAATACTGTAAATCTGCGAGAGTACTAACAGCTGCCGATGAGTTGTAAGCAAAAGTAGAGCTGAGGCTGATGGTAATGTCGTTAATTTTCTTAAATGTAAACTCTCAGGACGTCAAATTCTCAACTCAAAGTCCAAGTTTTTCTTAAGTAAATGGTACTGAGACAAAACAAATGCTGTTGCTGTGTGAGGAAGAAACCTCCCCATCACAAAGTAATTAGCAGTAAGGAGCTAATATATTGTATACCTGATGGTGGGAATCTTGAGAACCAGTTGTATTTAAAGTAAGAGTATTTTTAAAGCAAATCAACATAAATTGATCATTGACTGCAAACAAACAGGCAAAAAAGGAGACACACATGGGAGGAAAAAAAAAAGACTTAATCTCCCTCCTCTTCAGTGAGAGGAGGGCAGAAACATCCAGCACAGTCTCTGGCACCGACTTCAGAAGATAAATAGCAGACATTTAATGCTTTTTAATTACTCACATACAGTAATTAGTTAGCTCAGGGATGTACCTCCCCTGTTCTGGCTCTCCCATTCACGCTCTCTCGCGCGCGCTCTGCTCACCCACTCCAGCTTGCCCAGCATGATGCAGGCTTGAATCGCGCACCGCAAACACACATCGAGGCTGGTAATTACACTGCTTAGATGGTAGTAATGACAGAGCTCGCAGAAGAGTGCAGCTTCCAGTGGAATGAGTGCAATCACTCTGGAGGAGGAGGTGCTGCTCACTGGTATGTCAAAGCAATGCAGGCAGACCTGAGATCAGAGTGAAATGTGACCGATAAGGAGGGATGAACCAGACGTATGCTGGCAACAAGAACAAAGACGAAGGGGCTTCTGATGATATAATAACAGGAGATAACTCGCCAAAAGACAAAAACAAACTCTCTGGATATAAAACATCTACAACACTTACAAACAGTGCAAACAACACTAGAGTGTGAGCTACATCATGGGGTGGTTTGACAAACAGATGGTGAAATGTATGACTGGCGGACAGGAGCAGAGTACAACATCTGGCATTCATGCCACCACGACTGCAAGAGAACAGGTCAGGCAAGAAGATGCCAGGTCTCGACTGACCCCAGGTTAGTCATTATTAACCTGATATGATATAGAAGTTAAACAAAACATCTACAGCTGATCTGAGACAGTTTGACAGCCCTAAAATCAAGCACAAAAACATGATACAAACATCTTTGTTAATTACTGGTCCTTCACTATCACATAACCTGCTTTCAGATAAGAAAATAAGGTGCAGTCACATATGGACAAGAGGAATGACTCATCAGTAACTCGTACATATTAAGAGAGATTGAGGAGATTTCTGCACACTGTCTTCTTTACTACAGCATCATTTATCAACTTATAACTTTTGAGTGTGTTCAGCCTGAAGCGACTGAGTCATTGAAAAGAGGTGGTGACAGAGAACGTAAGCTCTCTGTCACGTATTTATATATCATTTACAAACTTTGTATCCTGGCTGACTAAATGAGGAACTGTCGTCGTCTGGGGTTTTTTTTGTCTGTGAATGTGTTTCAGACAGTGTTAATGGTGTGTGTTGTTTTGTACACATTTCGATGATCTGTACATGTGGGTGGAGTTGCACATGGAGATGTATTGTTGATTGTTGCCACCTTTGCCTATTAGAGGTTAGGTCCTGGTGGTGTTTTACATGACTATTGGAAACACAGAGGAAAGCCTTGTCAGTTTTTTCTTATTGCCTTGTAATAGCAAATACTTTATATGTGTAAGTATGAGAGCTGAAGTTCTCATTCATAAGCTGACACTTACATGGCTGAGCACTAGGGCTGCACGATTTTGCATAAAATGAGAATCTGGATTTTTT